CAATGAAAGATAAGATGATGAGAGTCGTTGATGCAAATGGGAGATTAATCTTGAAGGCTCCTATGTCTCAGAATCGAACCTTCAAGATTGAACTAAATGTGGTGGAGCACAAGTGCCTTTCGACTGCAGCTAGCATAGATGAATGGATATGGCATTATAGACTAGGCCATCTCAACTTCAGAGATATCAAAGATTTGAAGAGAAGAAATATGGTTTCAGGATTGCCAGAAATCGATATTCCAAATGAGGTATGTGAGGAATGTGTGCAGGCAAAGCAACACAAGAATAGCTTCAGCAAGGATGCAGGAAGCAGGTCGAAGGCTAGTCTTGAAGTCATATACTCGGATGTATGTGGATCAATCCTGGTGGATTCGATGGGAGGTAACAAATACTTTGTTACATTCATAGATAATTTCAGTCGAAAGTTGTGGACTTATCTGATCAAGAAGAAAAGTGAAGTGATCGAAGTATTTTCCAAGTTTAAGTCTATGGTCGAAAGACAAATCGGTCGAAAGCTCAAAGTTTTGAGAACTGATGGTGGTGGAGAATATGTGTCTAAAGACTTCGACAGACTATGTGAAAAGGAAGGGATTATGCATGAAGTGGTGCCACCCTATACTCCAAAACAAAATGGAATTGCAGAAAGGAAGAATCGAACCATCATGAATATGGTGAGAAGTATGTTGAAAGGCAAGAATTTACCTAAAGAGTTTTGGGGTGAAGCTGTTTCGACTGCAACATACATTTTGAATAAATGTCCTACAAAGAAGCTAGAAGGAATTACTATAGAAGAATGTTAGTCTGGTGTGAAGCCTAGCTTGAGTCATCTGAAGGTATTTGGATCTATTTCACATAGACATGTGCTAGATCAGTTGAGAAGAAAACTTGATGACAAGTCAAGTCAAATGATTCTAGTTGGATATCATTCGATAGAAGGCTACAAGTTGTTCGATCCAGTGAAAAAGTAGACTATGATCAGCAGGGACGTGATTATAGATGAGTTTAAAGAATGAGATTGGACTGAAAATGTCAAGAAATATTTAGTGGGAATCCTATTCGAAGAGCCAGAAACTCAAGTCGAAAGAGAAGTTCGACAAGAGGAACCAACAAATATACCAAGTACAAGCAGACCTCAAAGAACAAGACGCATGCCTGCAAGATTATAAGATTGTGTGATTACATCAGATGATGTAATAGATAATGAAGGTGAGATGGTACATTATGCTTTCTATGCAGATGTCGAACCTGTTAATGCAGCTGAAGCATTAAAGGATTCAAAGTGGGTGAATGCAATGAACGAAGAAGTAAAGTCTACCGAAGACAACAACACTTGATCACTTGTCGAATTGCCTCAAGGCAAGAAGGAAATTGATGTCAAGTGGGTATACAAAGTGAAAACGAATTTGAAAGGTGAAGTAACTCGACACAAAGCAAGACTTGTGGCGAAAGGTTTTCTACAGAAAGAAGGAGTAGACTTCGATGAAGTTTTTGCACCTGTTGCTAGGATCGAAACAATCAGGTTAGTTGTTGCTCTAGCAGAAATAAACAGTTGGCACATATGTCAGATGGACGTGAAGTGTGCATTCCTAAATGAACCCTTAGATGAAAAAGTCTATGTCAAACAACCAGTTGAGTTTGTGAAACATGACGAAGAAATAAAGGTGCACAGGGTACATAAAGCCCTGTATGGATTGAAACAAGCTCCAAGGGCTTGGAATAAGAAAATTGATAGTTTCCTAAGGGAGAAGGAATTTGTAAAGTGCACAACTGAACATGGAGTATATGTAAGAAGAAGCAATAGTGAATTGCTTATACTATGTCTCTATGTAGATGATTTGTTGATAACAGGTAACTGTAAAAGTGAGATCGAAGACTTCAAAGGTGATCTCAGCAAGGAATTTAAAATGTTTGATTTGGGTGAGATTTTATATTTCCTTGGAATCGAATTCTACAAGAGCAGTAGAGGTTTGATGATGCATCAAAGAAGATATGCAGGAGAAATTCTCAAGAGGTTTGAGATGGAAGAATGCAACTCAACTTCGACACCTGCAGAACCAAGACTGCAACTGTCGAAAGATGCAAATAAAGATGATGTTGATCCAACCCAATACAGAAGAATTATTGGATCATTGAGATGCCTTTGTCATGCAAGGCCTCACTTAGCATACAGTGTAGGTATGGTAAGCAGATTCATGTAAAAGCCAAAGGTATCACATCTAGTAGCAGTGAAGAGGATACTAAGGTATCTCAAAGGAACTTTCGATTATGGCATTTTGTTTCCTGCAACTGATAAAGGAAAAAAATGCAAGTTAGTGGGATACACCGATTCGAGTTGGTGTAGTGATGTTGAAGATCGAAAGTCAACAGCAGGATATGTGTTTATGCTAGGTGGTGCACCAGTTGTTTGGAATTCAAGAAAGGAACCAGTAGTGACATTATCATCATATGAAGCAGAATACATAGCTGCTTCTCTTTGTGCATGTCAAGCAACTTGGATGGTGAACTTGGTCGAAGAGATAACAGGGAAAGATCATGGAGCAATTACCATGAAGATCGACAGCATGTCAGCTATCAATCTGGAGAAGAACCCAATAGCACATGGTCGAAGTAAGCACATCGAAATGAGGTTCCATTATCTTCGAGAGCAGGTAGCAGATGAGAAGGTGAATTTGGAACACTGCAGAACTGAGAATCAGATTGCAGACATCATGATGAAGGGAGTGCAAGTCGAAGTATTCAAAAGGCTAAGAGCCATGATGAACATAGATAGTTTAGACACAATGAATTATGTGATGTGTTAAATTGTAATTCAGTGTGTCGAAACTATGTGTCGAAAATATTTGATTTGTTTTATATTTAAATAGATTTGATTTAAGTCTAGAATAAATTAGATTTGATTTAGTAACAAAAAAATATTTTGGGCTTTGGACTTAGGGTGTAAGCTCAGTTATAAATAGAGAGAGTAATCCCTATTTTTGTTAGCAAGTCAATCAAGTCATTCATAATATTTTGCAGTTGCAAAGTGAATAATAAAGTTTTCACAGTTTGTGAGGAGAGAGAAACTCTGCATAAATTATTTGTCTTGTCTTCTTTCTTTGTTTGTCTCATAATTAAATTGTTATTGTGGTAGAAATTCATCATAGACTTTGGTGAGTTTCCAACAAGAATCATGGTTGATCTTGACATTTTAGAGATCCATGACATGTAATACAAATAGGCTCCTAACAAAAAATTGAGCAATTAATCGGAAAACTTAGTTATAAATAATATTAATATTTTAATATATTATCTAAAATAAAATATGATAATATATCTTTTTATAAAAAAACCACCAATAATTTAAATTAAGTTTGTCTACTACTTTTTCTTTTTTTAGTATTAGAATAATAAAAGTCGTTACTAGTAACTACATAGAGATACGTTTTTTAGTTGTTGTTAGGATTTCATAAGCACAAGTTAGTAGAAGCGATTACTCTTCTTTATGTTTTTTTCGAGTTCGTGTTTATTCTGATATGTAACACTGAGGAATCGATACTTGTTTTGTTTATGTTGGGAGGAAATAATATGTATACCTCCGATGTGGGATAATTTTATGTTGATGGAAATTGTTATGTGATTCTCTGTTGTTGATAATTTCCTTATAATTACATTTGTTATAATTATGTTGGAAGAGTTTAACTATTCAGTTGTGATGTTTTCCGCTGCTTAACAAAATCTTGGAGTTAAGACTTATATTGCGTTCTTTAATTACTATATGTGTTACATATCGAAATATATGAGCAGGTTATTATTGGATGTAGCATCCTAATTGTGTGTTTATTTTAAATTATTCTGATTTTTATTTATAATTACGTCGGAGAAAATTAGAGTGTTACATCTTCAACTCTAAAGTTCTGAAGGTTCTGATGACAAACATGCAAGAGATACATATTTAAAACTGTTGAAACTCAATAAATCTATAACTCGCCCAAACATAACCCATAAACGAACATGTCCACAAACTAAAACAATGAAGCCCAACACACACAAACTGATAAAATTGGATCAAAGATCCAACGAACCAAATTTCCCACCAGATCCGGAGCCATTGTCGTGTCGTCGCCACTGGCTCTGCCACCAGCCTCCCGCCACGTCGTCTTCATCAAACTTCCAAACTAGTTTCTTGTTTATACATACAATTTCGAAATATATTTTCTTTCTCTTCATCACTTAAGGTTTTAAGACATAATTCAACAGTGCCATCAACAAACTTTTCTTTGTCTTGGAGATCAATGCAACGTGCATATAAACGTGCTCAAAAAAGATAATTTTTATGATTCTGAGATGGTGCAACAAAAACTAGTGCAAGACTTTTAATGTTAAGACCGGATTTAGATTACATAAAACCCCGTTTAAACCGTCCTTTTGAACACCCCTAATTAAAACGAATTTGTCTAAACAGTTTGAACTCATAAGTAATAACTTTGTGTCGATCAAAGAATGCAAGTCTGTTTGGATTCAACCTTAATTTTTTGACAAGATGCTTAAGATGATCTAAACATGTCATTTTAACATGATCATAAACCATAAGCATCTTAGACCCATTAAATATTCCATGAAGCTATGCTGGATTGTTAAACACCACTTCCGTGAGCATATATATATATATATATATATATATATATATATATATATATATATATATATATATATATATATATATATATATATATATATATATATATATATATATATATATATATATATATATATATATATATAAAGTGTGCAACAATCATTCCTCTATGGAAAGATAAGTTTAACTAAACAGTAAAGAGCGCTAAACCCTAAACCCTAAACCCTAATATAAGTTTTCTTTTCTCTCATTGTAATGTTAGTATATGTAAAACAACTATTAACAAAAGTAGATGAAAAGAATATCACAATCTTGGGCTGAGTAACCGAAGATAAAAAAAAAAGAAGCTCAATTCAAAGAGGAAATGGCATGGAAACCTACTTTATTAACAAAAAAGATTGAAACCATCTGTAGGATAGTTCAGCCCAAAAGAGAAGCCATGCTCACTACCATCAACACTATCAAGAAGATCCTGGTCATCTACTCTTTCATGGTTTCATCCAACCATGAAGAAGATCCTGGTCATCTACTTGTAGGTCCTCTTTCATGGTTTCAACCACATCTACTTGAAGGTTCTCTTTCATGGTTTCAACCACATTATTTAGAAGATCCTTGTCATCTACTTGAATGTCCTCTTTTATGGTTTCATCCACACTAGTATGAAGAATCTTTTCATCTACTTGAAGGTCCTCTTTTATGGTTTCATCCACACTAGTATGAAGAATCTTTTCATCTACTTGAAGGTCCTCTTTTATGGTTTCATCCACACTAGTATGAAGAATCTTTTCATCTACTTCAAGGTCCTCTTTCATGGTTTCATCCACACTAGTATGAAGAATCTTTTCATCTACTTCAAGGTCCTCTTTCATGGTTTCATCCACACTAGTATGAAGAATCTTTTCATCTACTTCAAGGTCCTCTTTTATGGTTTCATCCACACTAGTATGAAGAATCTTTTCATCTACTTCAAGGTCCTCTTTTATGGTTTCATCCACACTAGTATGAAGAATCTTTTCATCTACTTCAAGGTCCTCTTTTATGGTTTCATCCACGCTATTATTATTATGAAGATTCTCTTCATCTAGTTCAAGGTTCTCATTAAAATATTGCACCAAAATATCCACGGCCCTATCATAAATTTGATCGTTGTCAAAACTTTGCAAACTTGCGATCTTATCCAATCCTCCACATTCTTCGATCATTCCACCATAAATATTAACCCCGTTATACAGTCCCTTTTCCTTGTTAACTTTTCCAACAATTAATATGTTAATTAGTCCATCCAAACATTCTACCAGAAGATTCGGATCTGTTATGGTCAAGAGATCACAGAGTGCCTCGATGCATCCTAGACACGACAATAACCTAGAGCAATGTCCATAGTACATGTCAGTCATAATTTTCATCATAACATAAATCACAATCCCAAGTGTCTAAAATGCTGCAAGTATCAAACATTTTCTCCAACTCTTAGGACAGAAACAAAACAATGTATCCACTACATGCCATTCTCTTAGGGTATTTATCATTTATGCTGATTTTTCTTAAAACTTATTTCTTTTAGACCAGAAGAATGAGAATGTCGAAAATAAAATCATGACCATAATGATAACTAAAATGCAATGGTAAAGTAAACTTACCGAATCTGCTCATGAGTGGCATTACAAGTGGCATTGACAATACCCCAGGCAGCCGGCTGCCTAATGTCGGGTTCAGCTTTTGTAAGATGGACAATTGAACTGATAAGATCTGCATCAATGATAGCCTACAAAAATTGTCATAAATAACATTAGTTGTGACAATACTTTATGTTTAAAACTTTTTTGGAGCAAACCGGTATTAATTTTATAAATGTGCAACAGCCTAATGTTTAACAGATTTAGCCAGTCAAAAATGAATGCGATTCATATTCAACTGGCTTAAATCTTAGATTTCACGAAAAAGCATAGAGTTTCTTCACTCCTCAATCACATATATTCAGTTTCACTAATGACCATGATTCCTTCCAAAAATGAGTTTAGACTTAGAGCATAGCATTTTCAGCAAACAGCCAACAAGAAGCTACTCAGAAGCAAATCATTCATTACTAAATAAAGCAAGTTCAAATCATAGCCAACAAGAAGCTTCTCAGAAGCAAATCATTCATTACTAAATAAAGCAAGTTCAAACCATTGCTTACCTGTACATGATCCCTAGGTCCACCTGCGATATTTGAAATTATCCAACACACTTCCCGGAGGATAAACTTATCACTTTGCGTAAGAAGAAAGTTAAAAACTGGGAGACCTCCACTGTCAATCAGATGCTGAAAAGAAGATGATAACTTACTAGCAATGGGCGAGAAAAAAATCAATTTGATTTAGAAGGCCAAAAAGAGTAACTATGATCTCTCAATAGCCTTTATAACTCTCATTAGATACCGGTAATGAAATACAATTAGAGGTTCCACATCTTTTTATTTTTACCTTAGTATGAACTTCATTGCCGGTAGAAATATTTCCTATAGTCCGCAGAGTAGAAACAAGAACTTTTGACTTGGGATTCCTGTATCAGTGCATACGAGAAAAATAAAACAATGCATAAGTCATCCCTGAGAGTATCAGTGCTACCGAAAAAAGACATTGCAATCAGTCAAGAACTTACAGTAGTAGCTCTAGAAGTCTTGGGCAAATATTTGCATCAATGATAGCTTGGTTCAATTCGATTGATTCCTTTTGAGTAAGGCAGTAGAGAGTCTGGCATCCATGTAGTATACTTTCTTCATCAGGCATCATTAAGAGTTCCCGAAGGGCAGGCAATGCTGGTGGTATCTGAAAAGTATAACAGGAGAGCATGCAGTTGGAGAAGAGAAGATACTAACAATGTAAAAATTTATTATATTTATCAATTTATATAGGATATGCTAAATTTAGTACAAAAAGCAATATTTTGTGCAAAGTTTTCCCAACCTGTTCAAGAAGCATTGGAAGAGGCTTTCCAACGCACAAATTTGAAAATGTCCACATAGCGATCTTCAAGGTAGAACTTTTTGTTATACAATTAGGACTCCACAATATAGACAATAACGGAGAGAGTGCGCCATGGTTAAAAACATCATCCCTTGCGCATGGGGAATCACCTGCAATATTACTTAACGCCCACATTGCCTGATCAATCCAAGAGACATCGAAATTATGTCAGCAGGCAACAAATCCATACACAATGGTTTTCTCAATGCAATAATTCCGCGAGACTAGGGAAGATATGACCTGTTCTTTGATGTCTTCACTACTTGAGCTCAGAAGCTGCACAAGCAACGGAACAGCACCATATTCAATCACAGTTCTTGTATGCTCAGACAATCCCGAGGCAATGTTGGCCAGAGTCCATGCTGCCATGGACTGCAGATATAATTTTTAACATGGTACAACATAAAATGTCAATGAGGTCTAAAAATTCAAGTTAAATAATCACAAAAAAAAGATTCATACCTGCAGCTGAGGCATCTCATTCCTAGTCAAAAATGTCACGAGCTGAGGAACAATACCTGCTCGGATCACCTTATCAATATGAGGTATGTAGCCTGCACAGCGAAAGAGAATGTAACATAACAACATCTTATATTTTAGGCATATCAATAAGAATCAAGTACAACGCTAGAAATTAAATATATTATACCCTTTGATAGCAACTTTCCACACTGAGCACTTCCTTCAAGTTGTGCATTCGGGTCGTCCGACAATAACGCCTCTTTCATTGTAGGAAAGGCTTGCAACTGTAAAACAATATGAGTGGTAAAAGATGAAAACTGTTACTATTTTTCAATAATACACCAAGTTTCTGGCATCTATGTTTCTTATTTAGAGAAAGTATACTACATTCAATATCACAATTAACCTAAGTAGTAAAATCAATAAACAAAAGATTTTACCTGGGAATCTAAAAGTTCCTGTTCCTGCAAGCCACCACCAACACCAAAAAATCGAAACATTAGATAACCTTAACTTCATCCATCACATACAATAAAAGGGGTAATCCAGTGCATGAGGCTCCTATTTTATGGGTTGCGGGTGTACGCATCCATCACATACACAAAAAAAATATAAAAAAGAATTTTGAATTCATTCTTGCATGCATGTAGCCGTACTGGGATATAGACGTACTGGAATATAGATGGTGAAAGGAAGAGTCTCGATCAATGGAGCAGAAGCATCCTCACGAGGATGTTTTCGTCTCTTGTATTGAGAATCTTGACGACTGTTCTTCCTTATCATGAAAAGGTCCTCATTTCTCCTCCTTCGACCATCTTCAGACTCAACAACTCCAATACCCTTATACTCTTTCTTCCTTTTCTCACAGAGAATGGGGTAAGTATCAGGTATAAGAGTGATTCTTGACATTCTTTCTTTGGTTTTTAGGTGCTTTATAGAAAACTTGCACTTCAAGTTTCACTAGGAAGATATAAAAAGATTTATAAATTATTACATTCATTTGTCTTCTATATAATAGCTTCAGCAACTTCCGCTTGGATTTGCGGCTGTTAGACCTATATTTTCTCTTTTCTGTTATGTTATCAAAGACTATTCTACGTTCGAGTGGTGGGTCGAACCGGTTAGATGAACCCGGTTTATTTACCGCTCCGGTTACTGATTTGGATATCATTAAACCGGTTAGAGATGGGATTGGACCGGGAAATCCAGTCGAACCAAAATAAGTCGGTAAACTCATCTAGTGTGAGAGAAAATTCGCGAACGAAGTTGCTCAAATGCAGAAGAGAAAGGTGATCAAATGTGTAGAAAGAAGTGAAGAATGGTCGAATAAGAAGAAGTAGAAGAAATAGAGAGAGGAACATCAAAGAAGAAGTAAAAAAGGAGGAAAAAAAATGTATGAGAAGATGTTAGGGCTTATGGTAGAGATTTTAGGGCAGTGGGCTTGGCCCAATATAAATAACATGAAAGAGCATAAAATAGACAATTTCTCATTGTGCCTTTATACATTTTTTTAGACTCTCCGCAAAATTTTCAAAATGTTCATTGTTTTTAGAGATGTATCTCCGGATGCAACAAATTTCATTTTTTTGAAAAGAAAATTCAGAGATGCACAACCGAAGTCAATTTAAGGGTGGGTGTGTTTGGAGATGCATCTCCGAATACGCTTTTTTTAAAAATTTAAAAAATTAGTTCGGAGATGCATCTCCGAGCTAGGTGATCATATTTAATTATTCGTGTCAGACCCTCCCTCTTCTCTTTCTTCATTTTCAAAAAATCAACTTTCTTTCTACCTCATTCTACCCATTTTAAGTTCACACTCAATATCAAGTTTTGAAGCTACATTTACTTGTTTCTCACCATTCCAAACTCCTTATAACTATATTTACTGCATTCAACATTAAAGCACTTTACACCATCACCAACACATTTTTGAGTAAGTTTCTCATTTAACTTATTTTGATTTTTGATTAATGTATTAGCTCAAATAGGTTAGTTTTAATACATTAGATAACTCAAATAGGTTAGTGTTCAAGTTTGGAAACTTTGTTTATATGATTTGGATGAGTTTGAATGCTATGACAGTTGCAGAAATACTTCTGCTATTGAAGAAAAACGAATTTTTTATTCGGATATGCATATCCTAATTGTTTTGTTTCAAGTGTTCGAAGATGCATATTCGAACTCTTTCTTTCCTCCCTCATAATTTCTTATGTTTTTTTCCAGGCTATGGGTGAAAACCAAGGAAGGATGAGGCTCGGGCGACCCACGCTAACTGCCTATGCTCGTCCTGAGAGGGATCATCGAAACGAGCATGCTACAGTCACCCCCCTCTGCCTCACAATAGGGAGACACCGGCCTCTAGGAGTCGACTATCCCGAGGGTCAGGATTCCAAAGGTTCCAGTTGCTAAGGATGCCCCACTTGTTGACGTCTTGTCGATCTATCAGACTATCACGCGGGTGACAGGAGAGAACATTGAGTCTGGACTGTTTGACAGAGGTGGCAATGAAGCAACTGAGCTAGCATGTCCTGTTCTTGTCGAGGCACATAATGCCTTGGGTTACCGTAGGCAGATGAGGAGTCAGGGTGTTAGGATTTGACATACTTGGTAGACTATGCTTTTGATTGTATTTTGTTTATTTTTCATCGACTTGGAGAATAATTGTTGTACTATTATATTCGATTTCTATGATATTCAGTTTTATTAACGCATTACTCGATTCTATAATTTTTTTTTATTTTTAAAATCGTTAAAACAAAAAACGACAATTTTAATCGAATTAAAATTAGTTTGGATTGAAAACACAATAATCTTAGTAAACTAGTTCTAAAAATAGCACACATGCAATAATTCAGATATGCATATCCAAATTATTTCTAAACATGGTTCGAATATATAACTCTGAACTAATTTCTAAATAAATGGGGTGGCTGTTTGATTTCTAAAGACGAAAGGTGACTTCGGAGATGCATGTCCAAATTTACCCTAGAGGTGTATTCGGAGATGCATCTCTGAACTCAATTTTTCCAAAAAAATGGGATTTGATGCATTCTGAGATGTATTTTCGAATTCATCCAAGGGAATTTTTAGATTTTCAGAGATGCGCCCCATATAGCCAAGGTGGGATAAGAAATTTCCATAAAATACACAAAAAAGAGCACTTCTTACATTTAATTTAACTAAAATGAAATTTTCAGATACATGCAACACATGGTAATACTGATATCCCCACATTAGAAAAATATCAAGGCATATGTTACAACATCTGATTTGACATCATGAACAAATTTATCAAGATACGAGTGATACTAAAATTAAATTGCAGAATAATAAATAACACATAAAGTTGTTAACCTAGTTCGGTGCAACTCACCTACTCTGGGGGCTACCAGACCAAGAAGGAAATCCATTATCAGTAGTATTAATTTAAAGCCTAAATAATCCCAGTTTACAACTTCTCGCTTAATCCCTACCCAATACAACTTCTACCTAAAAACCTCCTAGATATGAGAAATTGACATCTCACTCTCTAAATCACCTTAATGATATCTAATAGTCTTAATCTCAGTGACTGTATAAAAAACCCAATAAGAAGGTTACAATTCTAACACAAAAATATTTAGTCAAGACTCTTGACTAAGAAGGTGTTTCCAGTGATTTCTGGTAAACAACCGCTAGTCTTCCAAACTATCGAAAATCTTTCTTACTGTTATTCAATCTCTCTGGTAACTCACAGGATCGACTAGATTGATCCTAGGACTCCTTGGATACTAAGGTTACTCTCACAATCGAACAATTATTCATGGTTGATATTGTATAAGTGTTTGGCTTACTTCGATCTCTCTCTACGAGTCTAAAAATGTAGTCAAAATGTATATGAAAACTAAGTTATACGAATAAATGCTAATTGTAATGCTGATTGTAGAGACATATAAAACTGCATGAAAAATGAAGTAAATGGTTTCGACTTACAAAACGTTTAACATAAAAGGTTTCTGGAATGTAGAAGTTTAAAATATGCAAAAAGCGTTTAATGCAAGAAATCTGTAAATGATTTTAAGTAAAAGTATGCGCTCGAAGGACAATACTTGAAGGTAAAGGTATGGAAAATGCGACATTTCTCTGAAATATAAAGTGCTCGAAATATAAAGAAAACAGTAAAACGTAAAACTTTGAGGAAAAGACTTCGAAGTGAAAAGACTGTAAATAAGAAAACTTGTAAATGTTGCCTGACAAAAAGAATAGAGGAAAGTACTGGAAATGGTAAAAGGTTTTCATTAAGTTAGAAATACATGGTGCTATCATACATACATTTCTCTTGCATTCGTTTCCCTTGCCATGTGGTAGTTTGAATGTTATTGAGTATTTTGTATAACAGATATGACACACCGAAATCCTAATACTAAGACTTCTATTTATACTAATTCGACCCTAACGGTCTCGCTACAGGATTACGCCACGTTTCGAACATGCAAGACAATGCCTCTTTCATCTTTCCACGTGTCCCCAAATGCTCCAACACATAACTTTCAAACTTTGAAAGTCCCGCTCCCATTTGAATTTAAATGCTTTTGGTGTCTCTCTATTTCGAGCGTTCTTCCCAAACACAGCCTCGCTGTTGTTCCGAGACTCCTTTAACTATGTTCCTGTTTACCTTGGGTTTTGGTAAACAACCGCTGATCCTCCAAATGGTTACTTATTTGGTTACTCGCAGGATCGATCAGATTGATCCTAGGACATAGGTTGATTTTGAAGTTTGATTGAATTGGATAAGGCTTTAAATAAAGAGGTTTTAAATAAATTGCATGAAGGAAAGACTTGGTAAAATAAACAAGGCTTTAAAGTAAAAGGTTCGACAAGAATGTAAAGAGGAAAGCAAGTAAATTTCTGGAAAAGTAAATGACTTTGATTAATAAAATTGGTGTTTCACACATACATTTCTCAACAATTCTTTCTCACACGCTGGGTACTCGAATCTATATGAGTGACTTTGTATAGAATTGTGAACACACGCGAGAAACTACATGTCTACTACTATTTATACTAAAACATCCCAAGTAACCGTCGGGCAGTTACACTGCTTCGAGATTAATCCACTTGGCACGTTCTCCACGTTCGACGCTCCAGATCCTTGCACGTTTGCACGTAGTAACTGCTGGAAACCGTTTTCCCTCCAAAAGCTTGAATTTCAAACTGCTCCACTCTGAACCATCGAACACTTTCGTCAAGAGACATCTTCGACGAGAAACTCCTTCGACGTCGAAGGCAACCAGCCTTCTTCCTTGGAAGAAATCTTCTAAGTACTTTGCCATCTTTCGACGGGCATTTCGACAGACTTAGCCAGTCGAAGACATCCTTCAGCTTTAATGGCTGATATCAACAAAACGAAGGTGTCGAATTTAGGAGCCAACAAATTTCCCCCCAAGAATGCCTTATTTCGACTCTGAAAGAAAAAGGCATTCTTTGAAACGCCATTCGACACCTGTCTTTCCATGCTTAGTCACAAACTAACTTGTGCACTTTTTGTTGTTTTCTACCAACTATTGGCAATCCCAAGAAAACCATCATTGTTCCGTACCTAGGACGTCACTTTCAGTACGGCGTGCAGTACCAAACGTCATTTCAGAATTTGTCATTATGACAATTCCCAAAAACGAGGACGCACGCTGCGTCCCTCTATTTCTGCAGAACGGCTAAAACAACAGGGGGCTGCCACGCGTCCCACTAAGTCCTGCAGCATTAAATGGCATTTAATGTCCTCGTTATTGGGGATTTTTCCCACTACTATAAATAGCAGCAAGTACCCCATTGTGGGACTTTTTACGCCATCTAGCCTTTCAAACTTCTCTGTTTTCATACAAGCTTGTTATCTTTGCAAAAACTCTTCCTCTTTCACTTCGTCTTCAACC